TATTTCTTCAGAGAAAAATCAGAAACGACAAACCAGATGAATTTGCTACTTAAAAATTGAAGGTAAAGGAGCAAAATCCCTTAAAGTGCTCAAGTGACACAAACTGAAACAAAATGAAAGTGCTCAAACGAAATGCTTGTAATTCTGTGGTCTTAAGACAAGGGCTTCTAAAACCAGGCTTCTACAGTTTGAAAACTGGAACTGCACTGCCTCCTCCAGGAGAAAGGGGACAACTACAGGCTAGAAATCATCTAACTGGCGCAAGCTGGAGGGATTCAGTGTAGGTGGTGACTGAGAAACAGCTTCTCCAAATGCTTGCAAAGTTCTTCACTCAGCTCATAATAGTCACAGATAATTAATGGATTTTAATTTTCAGTGTGCTTTCTTCTCATTCCCTAGAGAAATGCAGAGCTATGCTTTTAGAGAGTAGTTCACTGAAAAATCAACCAATTCCTGGCCTTGGCCAGCAAGGGGCAGAGAGCAGAGGACAGAAGACATGGGCAGATGTAGAACAGCAGAGAGAATGAACACTTTCTGGATGCCAGGTAATCCTGGGTTCCCCATCTGAGTCTCCTCACTCTTTATGGTCTCAAGACTGCCATCATTTATATGTATAGGTTTGGTTCAGAGTAGTCAGGAAGGAGCCTGGGGCCACAGAAGTACCACCTGACATAGTTGGAAGAAGAATGAAGTTATGTCCCTCTCTTTCTGTAATTCCAGTGTCCAGTGCCTCCCATCAGTTGGACAAACTTGTAGCAGGAAGCCTGACCTCACCACCTCACTCTGCTTCACTCTCTCCTGCAGAACTCAGGCTGCAAACCTTTCTCAACGGTCAGTGCCAACAAATCCATCTTGAGACAATACCCAAGATGAAAGCTATTTGCCTGCTCTCAGAAATAGGAGCACAAAACAGAAACAGGAGACTTGGATTTGAGATTGGCACTGACCTTGATTCAGGTGCTCCTGAGACTCGGTTTCTATTACTATCAACTGAGATACTTTAAGTTCTTTTTGATAATAGCATTCAGTAGTTAATAATAGTAATAACCACCACTATGCTGTGAACTTTCTAATTCAGTGTTTCTCAACCTTAGCACTGTTGACAATTGTTGTGGCACTTGTCTTGAGCTTTGTAGGATTCTAGCACCATCCTTGGCTTCTACCCCAGAAATACCAATGCTATCTATCTCAAGTGTGACAACCACAAATGTCTTAAACATTGCTGAATGTCCTTTACATTGGGGAGCAGAATCTTCCTCCCCTTTGAAGTAGGTATTTTTCTTATTTTTCAGATGAAGAAACCAAGGCAGAATGATAACACAAAACTCACAGACTAAGGGAATAGGAAAGTCGGGGCGTGAAGCTATGCCTGAGTAACATCTCTTCAGCACTTTCCACCATCCTGTCTAAAATCTTACTTCATCCTCTTCATTAAAAACCATGATTTGTCCTTTCTTCTTCATTTCTGCTGAAATCATCATGTGCTAATATCCCTCTTACATCCTTACTCAGCTAGTCTGTGAATTCCATTAGGAAAATTGGCCTGAATCATCTGCTTCTAACATACTCATGCCTGGCACAGTGTATGCACATGTGTTCACGCAATAAACAAGTGGACTTAACCCATTAATTTAATCTTTCCCATTCAAATCCAGTTCATACTGATAATGCTCATTGTAAAGAAAAGGGTTAATTCATCCAGAATACATAAATCCCAACTAGACTACATAAAGAATGATTAAGAAATGAAAAGTGAGTCTGAATAAATGAATTTTTGAGCACTCAGGATGTAATAAACTTGTTTGATAAGTTTTTAGAAACTAATTGTTGTCTCTTGAACTAAATGCCGGCCATGATTCCTATCACTTGTATCCAAAATTAGGTGTCGGGCAAGAGCTGGGCAAGTAAGTGTATTATTAGTTAAGGATTCAGTTGTGGATGGTTGGTGTCAGGGCAGTTCTTCTGAGTAGAAGGAAGTGCTACCATCTTTCCTCCAAAAGGCATTCAGTGCCTTTCTAGCAACAGGGCACACTTGCTTTCTGCTGTTTTTCCAGCAGTCAAGATGAATTGTTCTAAGCAGCTTTTATGCCACCTGCCTGGATGAAAGAGACTTCAATCTGTTGACTGCTTTGTACAAATTTCCCTCAGTGAGAAGCCAGTTGACCAGCCCTTCCTGGGATTAAAACAGGCACCACCTCACCATCTGCATAAAGCCCTAAACCAGAGGGTGTGGATGATGAGTTCATGGGCAGGGAGTGGTGGCAAGGGAGTACAAGTTAAATTTGCAAGTCTTGATTTGCTCCTCGTGATTCCTTCTTCTCAAATGCCACAGCATGTGCAGGGAGTTAAAACGAGCAGCATTGTCACGATGCAGCCAAGCCTGATTAGACAGCTTGGAATTCACTTTCCCAGTTTTCTGCGTGGGTTGCACACAGCATGAGAGGGAATGAGAGAAAAGGCTTCATGGCTCAGAGACGGCTGCACCATAAACGATACAGACACGCCTGACAAGTCCTCCCTCATCCTGGGGCACAGGTAGCTCTGCAGAGGCCTGGAACCCTCTGCTGCAGTTGTGTCATGCTGGGCACAGCCCACGCCATTTTCAGCATGGCTAGAGCAGGTGCTGTTCTGGTCCGCTCCTCTTTGTCCCCCTCCTCTCTTCTTCTTCTCTTCCTTTGCCTTTCTCTCAGTCTCTCTTTCTTGTTTTCTCCATATTTATGGGCATTTATTCTTCTTTCTTTCAAGGCCTTTAAAAAGAGCGAATTCTTTGCACTTCCACACAATATTTTGCCAATTCAACTGTAAACCAGTATAGATTCTCTGTCTGATTCCAGTTAGACTCCCCAATGCCTAATATACTCAACTCCTGGTAGATCCTTTATGCTTAATAAGCACTGAATGAATGCATGAATGAACAAATGGATAATCACGCAAAGAAACAAACAAGCCAGCATGTGAGAGCTGTACAAATGACAGTTTCTGCAGTCATTTTAACCTTTCCTGGCTTTACTCTGATCCAACACAATGAACTATCTCCAAAGACTATATATTAAAAGAAGGATATTTTAAATGAATGAAATAGGTAATAGTTATTAAAAGGACTGGCTGTACAGTATGACAGATGCAGCTCTGGGATGTACAAGTTGGGTGACCTGGAATAAGTTACATAAACTCTCTCTGCCTTCATTTCCGAATAAATAAACTGGCCTTCATAGTATATATTTCCCTGCAGAGAACCCAAGGAGTAAGTAAAATAATGTGTGTGAAGCACAGTCTGCAGTACAAAGCATATCCCGAGAATGTAACAAATGGTAATGGTCATATGACAATAAAAGTAATGGTGCTGATAATGGTGCTGATGATTAGTAATGCTCAACATTAATATTTTTAAAGATCTGGCAAGCTTCTGGGATAAACTACTGCTTTCTGACACATTTGAGTTGAAATTATATCATACAAAAAGTACTTGGGCTTGAGGCCTAATACCATAACTCAGAAATACTCTATATATACTATATATAATAAATGTGTTTAATGTGCCAACTGAGAAAATAATTTCATTTAAGGGCACCTTATTTCTAGCCAATATCATGGTGCATGACAGTAATCCCAGGTATTTGGGAGACTGAGACAGGAGGACAGCCAGTTCAAAGCCATCCTGAGCAATTTAGTGAGACCCTATCTCAAAAATGGAGGGCTAGGACGTAATTCAGTGGTGGAGCATCTGCCTAGCATGCATGAGGTTAAGAGAATATAAATATTGGGTAACCAATTACTATATTCTTTTTATTAACATCTTCATTTCTGTAAAATGCACAGCATTGATTATTTGAAAAGGAAAGTTAGTAAGAAGTCAGACCTGACATTGGCCTTTCAAGCAGAAAAATCAAAGTAACTCATTCCCAGAACTATAAACAGTAGGGACAAGATTATTCTTTGTTGTAGGGGGCTGTCCTGGGCCTTGTGGGGTGTTTAATAGTATCAGTGGCCTCTCCCTAACTAGATAACAGTAACAATCCACGCCTCATCCAAGCTGTGAAAACCTAAACTATGTCTAGGCTTTACCAAATGGCCCTTGAGGGGCAAAATCTGTTCCTATAGCCTGGGTTGAGAACCACTGACTAGATTTAAATTACCACCCACTCTCCTATTACATTGAGATAGAGCACATACCAGTCTTATTCTTTGGCCAAAGGAAATTAACAAGCCATTGTATAAAGAGCTGCAGAATTCCGTCCTGAGTCATCTCTGCCTTCCACCAAACTCGCTTGAACAGATGGGCTTCTCTAACCTCAAGTCTATTCCCTAAAAGCTTTTGTCAATCCCAACACCCTCCTTAGAATTCATACTCACACTCTCCAGGGCTCTGTGTGTCAAAAACAGTCATCCAGGTAGCTTCTGTGTGTTTGCTGTGGAGAGAAGTTTAAAGCAATGGCCCCAAATCAACCCAAAGGTTCCTTGCAATCAACCTCAAGAGTCCTTTACACACACACAGGCTGTAATCAGGGCTTTGAACAATAGCTTTGCCAGCGAAGAAAACAAATGAACAAAACCTTGGTTCAGTTCAGAGGCACTGCAGAACTCGTCTTTCTCCTAACAAAGTGAGGAGCAGGAAAAAAGAAAAAGCATCACGAGTCAAAAGAAATGTTACTTCACTAGAGTGTGGAAAAATCTTAGCTGGAAACCACGTCCTTCAGAGAAAGTACATAGAGTTTGCGTAACTGGGTCAAAACAGGGAACATGTTAAAATTGAGGACAAAAAAAAAAAAATCCCAGCAAACCACAGAGAAGACATTTGGAGAAGATTTATTTTTGTTTTTAAATTTAGTTCTATGCAAATCAATAAATCAGTCCTGTCTTCTGGCAGAAGGAAAGGTTATGAAATCATGGTAAGTCAAAGACTATGAGAAATAAATCATCTCAAGTCTGAAGGCTGCAAAGCCACATGAAAAATATTCCTCTGATAAAGTGTATAGTGGGACAATCAAGATAAAAAATGAACATGTGGTATGAAGGAGGCCAGGTCAGAAAAAGATTATACGGAGGACCAGTTCCCATTCGCTGAGTTATAGTCTATCCCGAGTGATGTACAGAGATGTACTTTGTGGAAGCATCTCCAGCATCCTTCACAACTACCCAATGAGGAACATGCCATTTTCTGCTTTCTATAAAAGAGAAAATAAACACAGAGCTCAAAGTTGCAAAGGGAGAAGAAAATGAGACCAATTACAGTTTATGTATGACCTCACATCATCATATTGTTAGCAACTCTGTAAATGCAAAGGAAAAGACTAAAGGGAAGTGATATTGGTATTATGCTAAAATGGTGATATTCTAAGAAAATATTTTTATTTTTTCAAAATTTTTGTTACATTGTTAATGATGCTTATACAAATATAACTTCTCAAGCCTTATCATTTTAAAGGGATGCTATATCCATTCACAAATAAATTTAATTGTAAATTTACTGTAAGGTAATAAAATTCATATTTCACAAATATAAAGTTGCTAATATTGATTTGGTTGGTTATTGATTAGAGATCTTTCTTCTTTTTTAATATAAGCACATATGACTAAGCACTCTAAGCACTACTTTCATTGCATTCCATAAATTTTGGCATGTGGTATTCTTTTTATTAGCCTCAAATTATTTTCTAATTTCTCTTGTGATATTTTCCATTGACTCATTACTTATTTAGGATTATGTTAAGTTCCATAAGTTGTGAATTTCCAAAACCTCCTTCTGTTATTGATTTCTGACTTCATTCCATTGTGATCAGAGAACAGACTGCATGATTCAATTCCTTGTAAATTTATTGAGTGTTGTTTAATGGCCCGACATATGGTCTGTCCTGGACAATGTTCCCTGTGTACTTGAGAAGGACATGTACTCTGTTCTTGGGCAGAGTGTGCCATATGTGTCTACTAGGTCTTTGGGGTAGAGTATTCTTTGGTTTACAGTGTTCAAATCTTCTATTTCCTTGTTGATTGTCTGTCTAGTTGTTCTCACCACTAGTGATGAGATATTAAAACCCTCAATTATAAAAGTTAGGTTGTCTATTTCTCCCTTCAGTTCTGTCAGTTTTTTGCTTTATGTACTTTGGGGGTCTTTTGTTCAGTGCTAAATGCACTTCTGCATAAGTATCTGGGCATATGAATTTACTCTCCTGCCAACACTCTCAAAATTAGCCCTTGAATCAGAAATAATGACAGTGATGCATAATATTTAACATTTAAGAGTAATGAGTACCTTCTGTTCTCCTCTATCAGAGATGACATCTCTCTGAATGATTGGTTGGAAAATAAGTCTTATCTGGACATAAATGTAATTTGAAAAACAAAGTCATGGAATTTTAGAAAATTAAATTTTCTTCTGGTGTTGCACGTGTTTCTTCGCTCTTGGGAATATGAACCAAACTTGATATTTTTCCTAAGTTTTCAGTTTAACAGGGAAATATAAAAATTATAATCAATACATCAAAGTCAAATGTCTAAGCCTTACTGGTTATGGTAAAAATGTTATCTGCAACTCTTTCAATAGAAGATAGCCTTGCTTCTAAGTAGTATCTTACCTAAGAATACAAGGACTTGGAATATAGATACTTCTAAGATACACCAAAATGCTATGGTCAAGGTGCCAGTAACATCTTATAGATATACCTTGTGTGCTTAATACATACCAGGGGCATTGTAGTCTTTAAAATGCCATGACATCAAGGACATACAAGCAAGAAATGTGTTCAAATACGGTAAGTATTGTGACAGCATAAAGAGAAGATGCTAGAAGGGTAGGGCCGAGTGTTGGAAGAAGAGATCTGATATAGACTGACAGAATGTCTATGCTACCCCATATGTTGTAGCCTTAACTCCTAATGTCATGTTATTAAGAGATGGAGCCTTTGGCAAGTAATAAGTCTTTGATAAAGTCATGAAGGCAGGGCTCCCATGGAGGAAAAAGGAGGAGGAAGAGGTATCAGATCATCCTACTTCTGCCATGTGAGAACACAGAGAGAAGACAGCTGTCTGCAAGCCAGGATAAGAGACCTCAATATCACCTGACCATGCTGGCACCTTCATTTTGAACTTTCAGCCTGCAAAACTGTAAGAAACGAAAGTGTGTTGTTTAGCCACCTAATCTACATTGTTTTGTTATAGTAGCCCAAGCAAACTAACACAAAGTCACTCATTCCCCAGCAAGGTAGGCTAATAATTCTCTTCAAATCTACTAAATCCAGAATTGAGGTTGGCTAGCCAGTGTGGAATATAGGATACAGGCTACACTGAGAGTACAGAGCTGTGTGTGGGTACAAGGGAATACCATATCATTTCAATTTACTCTAATTTATTGCCCTACAGTGATGTGACTCAAAGTATGGTCCAAGGCCTACTGGCTGACCTCAAAAGACTTAACGGCAAAAGTGCAAGTTTTTTGCTCAGTTCTTAATTGGAAATGTAGGTTAATCTGGGGGCTATCACTTTTATACATGATCAAAATCTACTAAGTGAGTTATTACGAATGATCAAAATTTTGCTTTCTTAAAATCAACTGAAGTATTTGTTGATGTTTGAATGTAAAGAAAATGTGTCATACATACATATATATATATATATACACACACACACACATACATATATGTATATATACATATATATGAATATTATCCAGCCATAAAGAATGAAATCACATCATTTGGGGCAGTGTGGATGGAGCTGTTAAATGAAATAAACCAGGCACAGAACAGCTAGTATTTCATTACCTTAACTACTATGTGAATGCTAAAAAAAAAAGCTGTTCTCATATAAGTAGAGAATGTAACAGTGATCACCAGAGAATATGAGGGGAAGAGGGAGAGAGGGAGGTTGGACAACAGGTGTCACAGTGTGGTTACATGGGAACACTATGGTATTCTAGAACACAGCACAGTGATTATATATTTATTAGGTATTTTATAAAGAACTATGAATTTAAAGCTTCACAACACAATGAAATGACACAAGCTTAAGGATAAAAATGCTAATGACCCTGATTTGATCATTCCACATTATATGCATGCATCAAATTACCACAGTGTGCCCATAAATGTGTACAGTTATATGTCAAAAAATGACAAATCACAAGCATTTCGCATTTCGCAGAGACTCTAGTTTTCTATGTACATATACCACTATCATATGAGGCCTGCCTTCCACACAATGCATGGTCATCCAACACTGAGGATAAAGTTCATGCAACTTCAGAAGGATCACATCTTTATGGGGCCACATCAGTCCCAGGGCTTTCATTTGCTGCTGCATCAGTGTCCACTGCTGTAATTATACAATCATTCTTAGGCTTTATCTGCTACTTTTTCTTGTAATTGCTGTACTGCTACCCATTTAATATTTATTTTATTTCTTTTCAGATCTTTGTTATCACTGAACTCTTTTACCCCTGGAAAAAGAGAAGAGATAGGTTGCTCCATCCCAAAAGTGTATGAAGTATTGCCCTAGAGGAGTTGTTTGGTTTCTTCAGGCTGCCCTATTAATGATACCTCAAAGGTTTACAAGTCCAGAGGCTAAACTTGGAGTTTTTGTTTAAACTGTTTTCTCTCTACTGCCTTGAAATTGTCCCTGATTCCAAATCATCATGAGTTCCTCCTCTTGTAAGTAATAACACTATCTCTACTGCCTATTTAGTGATCAGAAACAGCATAGGATGTCCTGAAACAAAGGACTGCTATCTATTTCTATATCTATTGCCTTTGAAAATTTTTTTATCTTACCATCAAGATTCAGGTATCCTTAGAGAAGGGACCATGTTTAGCATCTGGATATCTTAGTACAGAAAGAAGAATGTGCGCAAAGTATGAGAATTAGTTACAAGGATTCTTTACTAAGCACAGGTGGTCTGAAGTGAGGGTTGAAGAGGGAAGAAGGGCAAATCTGGATACAGAGTCTGTTTGGACACCAGCCCTGAGCAGTTGTATATGTTCCCCAGACCTGTGTCTATGATGTGGTATCAGCTGCGGCTATAAGCAATCAAGCTGACAGTAGTTTCTGGTGATGGGCCTGTGACAGTCCTAATAATGCCACAAGGAAGCAGGTATGAGGGGTATCAGAGGGTACTTGGTTTTCAGACCTTGCTGATGGTCCTACCTATACATCTGGCTCTTAGATTTTAAGTCACTATCTGGCCACGTTAGATGGTAGGCAGCTCAATCTCAAGACTTGTGTGGCTGAGAACCTTGCCTTTCCCATCCATGCCATTTCTAGCTGGGGTTGGATCCCCATTTAGGAAATTCCCATGTCTCTTGGTTTTGGCATGGAATGTTCTGTGTTTTTGTTGTCTGGTATGATTCCTGATTGGGTCCAGGCCCTACATTCTTTTCTATAAGTCATAATTCCTGATCCCTAATGGGCTAATCATTGTTCTTTCTGGTATTGCGCTGTAATGTTTTTAATCAAACTCCATGTACAATTCCAGCCACAAGACAACTTGTGAAATGTCGCTGAAATCCTATGAAAAAAAAAAAAAAAGGTGTGATCTTGCCGGGAAGGAGATACTGCTGTCTTATACATCTAAAGTACTGTCGTAGATATAATACAGACTTTGAGCCTTGAGTCTCGTGATTTTCAATGTTTTACACTATGGACATAATGTACTTAGGCAATCTTCAAACCAGTGATCTATTTGATCAAATAATTAGACAATATAGGGTGAGGGTCAGTGACAACAAAATGGTGTCCTAAGAAGGAGGAATCAATCCGATTAGTGAATAACCGAGTGATGACTGGTCCAATGTATTTGTTGCTTCTGAGTTCACTAAATCAATCTGCTCCCCTCTGTGACCACAGACCATGACCATGGAAGTCTCAAAATTTGAAATTGCAGGAAAACAGATGTGTCTAAAGCAAACCAGCTTACTACTTCTACAAAAGACAAAGTTCATTCCTTGGCTTAAATCAATGACTGTACTCATTTGGAATTCAGATCAATTACTCTGACAACTTATATTTTCACATTCCTGTAAGAATAAAGACAAATAGGCCTCTATGAGTGGTTTCATGTTAGAATTTGTTCAAAAGAGAAGAATCATTAATACCTTCTCTGAGAAAATGAAGTAACAAAAATGTGTTCTGGACATTCTAGTACTTTTTCAATATTTATATAGTTGGGTTTGTTCCTTGTTCCCTGTAACCCAACATTTGAGGCCACTGAATCAAACCTGCTCCCAGGGAATATTGCAAGAGCCTCTCTGAGCTCATTTTAAAACAGCATTCTTTTGAGTCTTTAAAACCAAATACTTCTGAAATGGGAACTAAGGTTAAATTTAGGTCAACATGGATTTCATCAAAGTAAAATCCTTTGAGGTTTGCATTAAAAATTCACGTATCTAAGGCTTAGGATTTAGCTCAGTGGTGCCACCATCTGCCTTGCAAGTGCAAGGTCTTGAGTTCCACCCCTGGTACAAAAAACAACAAAAAAATTCATGTATTAACTAAATGGCCTTAGTTCAGTGATGATAATAAATATTACAAAAAACTTAATCATTCTTCTCTGGGATTTCTCACAAGGAACTTCTGTAGCTTCATCCCAAATGTATTGGATTATTTTCTTTTGGTTTGAACATCAGTCATTGGTTTGTTCCTTTCTGTCATAAATAATGACAAGCCACATGCTGGGTCACTTAGTCCCTATCCAGGTCCCAGAGATTTGTTCTACGGGCTTGGAATATACTATGTCTTTTTCTTACTCCTTTGTTCTTTTATGGAACTGGGCTAAAAACACCAGCTACTGTTACTTTAACTGAAAATGGCTTCTTTCTCTAGACTATAAAGAAATCTTTTCTGCAGAACTAACTTGCAAATGTCCTAGTGAGTCCACATAGCATGACACAAATAACATGATCATAAAGCATTGCATTGTCACACAGAACATTCTGTTCTCCCTTCTACCTACAGGAGAAGACATAACAGGATCCCACCTGCCTCAGTATTTTCCTTTGTCATCTACACGGTCAGAAGATTTCACTCTGACATGAACAGAGGGTGTCTGATCCATCTGTAAGGTGTGTAGGAGGAAATATAACCAGTAGGCAACAGCACTAACTGAAATCATACCCCTTTTTAGGATGCATGATAGAAAATTTAGTCTCTCAAAAATCATCTCAAGAATGAAGGAAATAGGGAAACGGGGTGTGAAGAGAGGGCAGGGACAAGGGGAAAAAATGAGAACCAAGACTTGTCATGTAAGGGTACAAGATCCCAATGATGAATGTAACCATACTGTATACCTAAAATGTACCGATAAACTCAATGAGAAGAAAAAAAGAATGAAGGAAACATTTGGGTATCCTGAAGATTACAAGAAGCAATTGATAGACTGCTCTTCACATAGTAGCTGGCATATGGTATAAGTGATTGATGTTTCTAGTGATCACTGAATAAATGAGTGAATAGACGAATGAAGGAATGGACAATCAACCTGTTTTGTGTTCCCAGTACAGAGTCCCCCCCTCCAGACGTCTGCTTAGGAAATAATGTTCATGATGGGGTTTCCTAATGTCAGATAAAGGGTAGATTTGTTTCCAAGGTCTCGTAGGAGAAAAAGCCATGATTTGGGTCAATTCCCCACGCACCCTGCTGGCAGAATTTCTATACTGGTTAACAGAAACCCAGTTTGGAGACAGAAGGTGGGCTGAGCCCTCACCAGGAGTCCATAACTGAATAGATGGATTAAAACGACCCTAGGATTACAAACCCTGTGTGGAGCACCTTGTCCGGGCAGCATGCAGCTTTGAACCTACCCTTACCATCCACACCCAGCATTATTAGGAGGTTCTCTCAGCATGCCATACTCATACCTGGGGCACTTTTTCTCAAGGCCTGAATTCCTGGGTCTCTACCCCTTCACACTAAATCTGTTCAGCTCCTTGTTCTTCTGATCCTCCAGCTAAAGAAATCTTGCATTGCTTTTTGTAGTATTTGAGCAGGGAAACCGAAGCATACAATGATCAAAGCCTTTTCCCCAGCATCTTTCCTCTCCCAACCTCATCCTCCCTTAATGAAGAGGGGTGATCACAATGAGAAAGGTAGGAAAACATCCTCAATGGATTTCCAACTAGTTATGGAATAAGCCCCAAAGCTTGGGTTTACCAGAAAACTGTATCAGAAATATTGCTCTAAAGTGGAGGCCCTTCATAGTAAATGTTCCAGGAATTCCAAACTTCGGTGCAAGGCTTCCTCAAACAATTTCTTATGGCCTTTTTGAAATGTAGGAACTAGTTTTTCACTCACCTATTTTTCCAACTACTGTTCAGCTTTGGGGACGTATTTCAGTTCACTTTTAATATTCTGGATCTCTGAAAGGTTAACTGCAGGTCCTGGAAGCTTCTTTGCTCCTGGAATTGGCTTCTTCTCCTCATCTGAAGTAGGAGGAGCTCCCTGAAGAAAAAAGAGAAGAAATTAAACTCACCAAGAAGGACATTTGATCTCTAAACTCATGAATATGAACCAGAAAAAATTAAAATAAGAATAATGCCCCAGTGTGGTTCTAGCAGAGTGATTTTTCTCTTGTGTTACTGAAACAGGCTCAGTCACAATAAGATCTAAAGTTTGGTAAAATAAAGTTGGAAGAAGAAAACAAGTAATTTCCATGTGACATAGAAAACAGTAGAACATCTGGCAACTAATAAAAATTACCTCTAGTTACGTTTTCAAATTTAATTTGGTATTATATCTTCAAACTATGCCTGACAGCACAGATCTGTAGAACTTTAGTGCATAGCTGGCTTTAAAACAATGTCTTAGTCCAGAAGGTTTTCAATGTATTGTTTGGGATGCAGTGACTGCCTGCCTTTGGTCCCAGGATATATTTAGGAAGGAATAACAAACTGAAAAGTGTAAGGGAAATGTCTTTGGATATGAGAAAGATGGATGGAAACATATTTTAAATGTTCTATCACTGCTGTTATTTTTTTTTTTTGCAGTTTTAAGGCAAAATCCATATCCCATCCTTTTTTTGTGTGTGGCTCCTCCAATGTGCAACTACAGATTATTGCTTAACTGATTAAACCCAAAAATGTACACAGTCACAAATCCACACCTTTATGTACATAAACTGAACACACAAAGAACAGTGACTATGAAACAATAACGATTTGGTGTGTGTGGCTCCAACTCATTACTGCAGAAGCAAGCTGATGTTTAGTGCACTCCTCCTATTCACTGCGGACCTGGGAGCAAGGTGTCAGAGGAACATGTGACCACCGTGGCAGCCATGAGAACACGCCTCAGATCAGATTACTGCAGGGAGAGTAATAGAATGAAGGCCCCAGTTGCCCTGCCTTGAAATCCACCCATCACTACAATGAGGTCACATTTCCCATGGCTGCTGGTAACCAATGACCGTGTGCAACAGGAATCGCAAGGCGGGCCAATGATCCAGTGAGAGGAGACTCCTCTGAGGAGCGCTTGGAAAGGAGAATTAGCCAGAGAGCAGCACAGAAGTCTGAGCTGCTTTGCTGACACCCCTCAACCTCTTGCAATCCCCTGCACCACAGTCTGATGGCTCTCTCAGATTCCTGCAGCTCCCTCCCATATTCCCTTACAAGTGTTTCCCCAAATAAATGTTATACCTACCTAAACCCAACTTTGGATCTGCTTCTTGGAGGACCCAAACTAACACAGGCCCTAAGGTTCCTGTTTCTAATTCCCAAATTGGTTAGAACCTAAAGGAAGAACATGTTCAAGCTTCTCCAAACTACTTGATAGACATTTCCTTTATAGAAATGCTTTTAAATTGCCTGTTGGAGGGGATGAGTAGACACACAATATATTGAAGCACTGTTCTTCCACTGAGGGCTAATGGTTTTTTCCTATAGTCGTTTTCTCTAAATCTGTTACAGTGCTGATGAAACAGCTAACGTGTCACCCACTCAAAATGATAAAGCAATTCAATGTAGACTACACCTGCTATAAATTTCTGAAAGATACTGTTTCCCTGAGTCAGTATACAGAGCCATAGGACTGGCTGTTTTTCACCATGCACACACACTCATCATTTATAAACATGGATATGGAAGCAGTAATTAAAACTGTTAATTAAACATACACTCGGTGGCCAGGTATTCTAAAATGTTCCTTGCTGGTCTTGAGGAGGAATTTTTAACTAAGCTACAAAGTGTTGCATTCTAAAAAATATGTGTAGCAGTGAAATGAAAATGTTTCCTGACTTATAAATGTTCCCATGGTTGTTAGGTGGGTAGGTCTTAATAAAGAAGTATGAAGGAGAAAAATGTTTCCAATTCTTTCTGTTAAGTTTCTGGGTAAGTCACACTCACTATCTTTGTAACATTCAAAATGTACTGTATTGGCACACTTAACACATAAAGCCAATATCTATATGTATTTATATGGCTATGTGCAATGATGTATATGAATATATGCAGATTAATAACATTTAATACTGTGCATCTTCAAGTTATTAAAAGCCCAGTGCACTGTGCTCTTTATGTATCAAGGTAAGACTTTTTGCACTTGATTTGCTAAGGTGGCAAGAGTGGAAAATTGTAAGGGGATATATTTAATAATTTGATGTTAGGATATTGACTCAGGAAGGGGAGTTATTAGTGGTACATTTTTAAACTGAATCTTTTGTCATCTTTTAAAAATATAATGGAAATCAGATTCCACTTCTTCTATAAACTTATTCTGAGCATTACAATAAATGAAGGCATGAACAAACAGATTCCAGGTGGCTTTATCTGACTATAAATACATTCTTTTTTTGTTTTGTTTTGTAAATGTTTGAATTGAGAAGGGATATGACATGGAGGGCATTCTTTGGATGGAGAAAGTGTGTGCTATGTACCATAGCAGCAGTCTCAGTTTCAGAAATAGATGTTGAGAGGAGAAATGCTTGGGGGTAGGCGATCACAGAATATTTGCAGATCTTAGCAAAATGGTGAAGCATTTTCCAACTATCTCCCTCTTTACTACCAGATGCCCTACTGAGTTTTGCTCCAAACTCTCCGGTGTGGGGCAGTACAGTCTGTGCTCATTCAGGCTCAAACACTGGAAACCACAGTAACAGCAAGCACACTGATAGCCGTTCTAAGCTACATGCACTAACTCATTTAATCCTCACATAACCCTATAAATATAGTACCAAATTACTCTTGTCCCTTTCTTAGGGTAGAAGAGACTCAGGCACAGGGGAGCCAAGACATATGCCCAAGGCCACCCTGTTAAGAAATGGCTGAACCAGAATTAAGTTGTGTTTGTATCTTTTAAAGGGACCAGATGAAAGGGAGAATATTTAACAGAAAACCCCAATGTACTGTTTTATGGCTTAATGATGATGGTGTCTCAGTCACAAGAGAGATTTGGGAGGCTTAGTGGGATTTTGTCAATACCTTTCAAATCACTACAAGCAAGCAATTATTTGTCTTTGGCAAAAACCAGCCCTGCATATGAGGATTTGGCTGTTAAGCCCCTGTGCTAGTCTCATGCCTATGTCTGGTGGGACAAGTGCACAGAGAGTGCACTCCAGTTCTGTGAGCAAAGCAAAGGGCTCTTTAGAGGCCCCAGGTTAGCCAGAGACAGCCATGTTCACAGGCCTTGTCAGATAGCTAAAGATTCATCCTTCCCATTGAGGCACATTCTCCTCTTCACATCTGAGAGGGTATCTTTCTGAGTTTACATGAGGAACCTACAGGCCAATCTAGTGACTATACCTGGGCAAAAGCATCTGAGAGACTGTGCCCTTCCTACCACATACAAAATCAATGAACAACTAAAAGTTAAGCTCAGTATCTTCAAGTAATTGTGCCAGGCAATTAACTTTGGCCGAAGGGAAGGGAGAGATAGAGTTTCCTGAATGCCTGAATAAGACAACTCCAGCTACCTCCATACTGTATGTTGAATTGTTGATACACAACTTTTTGCCCCTCCCTCATCCTAGAGAACAGGTCTGCCTTGCTGCTATCCTCCTATAGTGAGGAGTTTGTGCTCTGCTGGCTAAGTTGTCCTCACCTCTTCTGTTTCAGGAGTGCATTCTTTTCTTCTGGGGGGTTGCCCAGCTCCTGGCCGAAAGGCTCCCATTGGAATATTTATATTTGCCTAAGAGAGAAAACAGGATATATTTAGCTCAAGAAAAGTAAGAAATTGCAATGACATTCTGAGACAGCAATCATTATGAGGAAAAATGTGTCTGAAAAGTACATCTTCAAAGCTTTTATCTCAGGAAAATTGCTTGTAATGACAGTACAAAAATTATGCAAAGGAAAATGTGACTTCCATTTATTATAGATTTCTGGTATTCATCCTTAGGTCTGTGCAGTGATTTTACAATTCCTTGTTGGGTGGAAGAATTTAAATACAGCTTGTTCTTGCTGATACCCTCCTGTGGTGCATATTATTTTCCTCTCAGGGACAAGGGAAGAACACATAATGATCAGAAAGGAAGAAAGAGCATCCACAGAAGTCATCCCACACCTTAGCCCTCCTTGAAGTTCCTTCAGACTTACCATGGCGCAGGAGGAGGAAGATTCATACCCCCTAAACCGCCTCCTTTCTATTAATATCCCGCCACTCTTTCAGCATTGCCTTAAGTCTTTGCAGATGACATTCTTCTACCTTCTCCCCAGCATACTCTCGTGTGGGTCAGGAAAGAGTAAGGAGAGTGCTGGAACATCAAGTTCCCTTTGTATTACAACCCTTCAATTCTGGTCTTTTATTAAAATAACATACTAATCTCCACCCATAGTAAATATAAAATACCTTCTAGTATACATGAAATACTCTAAATTAGGATATGTTGGTATAATAATTTGAACTTGGGAAGAGAAGGTGTAAATTTGAATTTTGCCCATTTTGTCTGATATGAAAATGTGAAAATAATGCAGACCAAGATATCTTCAACCAGTATTTTCACTCACATAAAACATGCATTACATACTTAAAAAAACAGATTTTCCACTGAAGACAAAGTGTTACCTTATGAGTAACTGGATATGTGAATTTGAAAAGTTGAAATTTGATTTTGATGTTATAAATGTAAGAGATGCCTGAGCAAAAAAAAAAAAAATTTTGTTATCCTATGAGACAGGTTGGATGATTTTGATACTACACCAAATGAAATTGTTAGGAAGTATGATATGGTCCATTTCAAGTCACCTGGTATAAGTTCTGTTGCCAGGGGAACAATTAAATCATGACACATGAAGTAGCCAGTGTCCATGTTCATGCAGCCTGAAAGGTCTACACTCTGCTTCCATGGAAAACAACAAGTGGCTTTTCCAAACTAGGCATTAAAACTTCCCTCCCTACTAAAATAATGTGGATCCTACAGAAAGGAAACATCCCAAATTTTTATGATGGATAACAAGAGAAGTACATTAGTGTGGTAGCATTACTAGGACCAACAAGCCATGATGTATTTTTGATTACTATGTACCATAAGATGTAAGACAGGGGGAAAGATAGGTCTTTTATAGAGGCAAATATGGCCCTTACTTCATGAATCCTAACATGCACTCCTTTTACTGATCAGAATGTGTTTCAAAATCAATGGTATCTTACACTTTTTTTTTCAGACCAAGTCATACTATGTTGCCCAGGCTGGCCTCAAACTCCTGAGCTTGAGAGATCCTCCTGCATCAGCCACCCAAGTAGCTGGGACTACAGGCAAGCACCACTGCATCCATATGTATCCTATAATATTAATTGGCATGTTTGCTTTATTTCTTAGCAGGATATAAAAAGACAGTTTAGCTGAGAATGTAGCTCAGTGGTGAAGTACCCACTTAGCATAGATGAGGACTTGGGCTTGATCTCCAGCACCACAAAACCAACAAACAAAGCAAAAGAAAATAAATTAAGGTATTTCTACAGTTAGCACTTTTAGATTGGATAAAATATCAGGTCCTGAAATAAGGTCAAAACAAGGTAAATAAGAGAAGATGGTCTATGTTAGACCAATGGGCTATTTTCATCATTAGAGTTGAAATGAAAGAGGGCCAAAGTAAATATAAGCACTGTTTGGGAGAAGGTTAATGAATTAAAAGTTGTTAGATCACCTGCATTCAACCCATTTATGAGGTATCTATAGGGGGTATCTTTATAATGGTGAGTTTGGCTAAACCCATTTAATCAAGTATGAATGCTCTATTGTAGGTTGCAGTTTTCAGTAAGGGAACATGTAGATGTCATCCATAATAACAGGGTAAAACACATGCTATAAGACAACTACCTTTTCCTATTGGGAGATTAATTTTAGAAATTCATATAGCCTCTCTATGGCTCACAGGTAGTTTATGGTAGTGAGAAGAGCCCAATGCTAAGAGATGCTATGGATTCTCTGTACTTGGAAAAAAATGAGAGCTTCTCTGTACCACATTATCCTCATTGGTAGTGTTAATATTAGACTACATGAGAGGCTTTCAAACCTCATGACTATAAAATCTTTCCTTCAGCCAGGCATGGTGGTACATGCCTGGAATCCCAGCACTTGGGAGGCTGAGGCAGAAGGATCGCTGTGAGTTTGAGGCCAGCCTGGGCTATGCAGTGAGTTCAAGGTCAACCTGAACTACATAGTGACATCCTGTCTCAAAAAAATAAAATAAAATCTTTCCTTGAAATAAAGTATTGAAAAAACATTAAAAATGCATAATAGGGCCGGGATTTAGCTCAGTGGTTCAGCCAACTGTTTTGCAAGCCTAAGGTCCGGAGTTCGATCCCCAGTACCAAAAAATGAAAAATTCATAATAGGTGGAGATGGAGAGTTCAAATATTGTCAGCCTTGAGAGTCTTCTGAGGTCAGTATTATCCTCTTTGTTTTACTGATGAAGAAACTAAGCTTGAAAGAGGTTCATAATTTTCTCAAGGTCACACAAAAATAGTACAGACCAGGATTCCAAGTTGAAGCTGTGAAACTTTAGAGTCAGACCTTTTCACTGTACCAAACTGCTCTCTGAATAGTCTATTTCACTTGGCCAAAGTGAGCTCTAACTTGCAGACTTGTATTTTGAGATTAGCTTTTCGAAAGGGTCACACAAAATGGATAATTCTAGAGTAGGTGCAAAAGAAAAGCCACATTAACAAATGGTCCATTAACTCACTGACCTGACAATTTTTCTTCTTTAATGCATCACCCAAGAAATCAGGAACCTAAATGGCAGCAAATATTGACAGGAACAAAAGCAGCCTGAAAACCTGCCCAATGTCTCATCATTAACGGGCACTAATGAGACAGAGGAAAAGGAGTTCTTTGTCAACTGCAGCATGCATTCACCCATAACAAGGTGATCAGCGATGTTTTATTTAATGTAATTGAAGGGCAGTGATATTTGAGTCAAAAACCATAGACTAAATTATAGCCATAAAAAAATATTGAATTTGATAGGAAAATGTAGACCTGCAGATCTCTGTTTTATTCCATTGGCCAGAGAATTGGTTCATATTTTTGCCTTTTTCATTGATTTGTTCTGTTTGAATACAAATAAAATACTCAATTATTTTCACCTGAGCATTGGGTATGACATTTGCTATCCAAAATGGGTTTGGAACATAAGCTATATTTTATGAAAGGATAAACAAACACAAAACAAACTGAATATCAATGACCTAGAGTCAATATAAGATAGGGCTTCCTTCTCTATATAGATTCGTGGATGAGACCAGCTCTTGCTTTTTATTTCTTTTGGAAGGCAACTTTTTGTATTTCTTTTCCCTCCTTGAAGATTACTCATTTTAGATATTTTCTAAACCTACCCCAGCAGACCCAGTGCATCTCTTTCCCAAGCTACACATAATTTGTTATATCCTCCAAGTTGGGAATGGAAAAAAAAATCTACTAGATCATCTTTTGCCAGAACAGGATACAGTTCCCTGATAGAAGACCTATCTGATGTGAAATTAATACTATACTTGATCTCACCAGGTGAAGAAAAGTAGAAAGAATTCCCTGTAAGTTAATTCTACCACTCCGTTAATTATTTGTATTGTTCTCCTTGTTTGGCTCCAGGCTTTAAGCCAGGGGGATTCTGGAAACAATATTCCCTGCACAGCCACTCCTGTGTGTCTTACAATGGAAGGACATCTTTTGTCCCCCTTGGGGTAGATTCTGATAGCTGCCAGCCATTGGGTACTGACAATTTCTATTGAACTTTGCTTTCCACTGCTATTGTTCGCCTCTCTTCCCCTCAATTTGTGTCCCTACTCCGCCTTTCCTTTTCTGAGCCCACTGTGAGTTTTCTGAACATTGTGTATTTGTTTCCAACACCCCCCACTGATTCTATCTTTAGTTTTCAAAGGACCCCAGCAGCTCCTGCCAGAATCTATAGCCTCCCCCATGCCATTCATTCAGGACACAGGCAAAAGAAATTCTATAGGGTTGCAATTTTCAGTATTCCTTTCTGCTCTTTCCTATTCTCCCAGCCTTAGCCCTTCACAGAATGGAGCAGGATATGACATTTTGAGATTTATAACATCTTTACAGTAAACATTCAGAAAGAGATGTCTTTTCTGATTCGAAAATCAGAGTCCATTTTGAGAAGTTAACTTGAAGTAAGAGAGATAAACAGAAAGATACACTCATATATCAACTAAAATATAGTCAGTTTATTTTAAAATAAAATTCTACACCACTAGAATTCACAACTGCTTAGGGACTCTTGAAATATGGAATAGATTCAAAGTACACAAAACTTATCCACTCAACACAATTTTGAGAAACTCCCACTCAGCCACTGTTTGCACGCAGGATGTTTCACACTAATAGGTTTTCTTTTTGTCTGCTCTCAACACTTTTTGTTCTCTTCAATAATTTCCTGAATGATTCAACTGTAGTCTCGTCATCCAGGGAAAAGCAGATTTCAAGAATGTGCTGTACAGCTATTAAGATAATCGGTACAATTGCTTGGAAGCAGGTTGTATTTCTAAAGTAGTTCTGAATGTCAGGATGCAAAAATGACATCTTTTATCCAGTATATGACTGCTTGCCTTATGTCACAAGTACAGAGCCCTAGGCCAGGCATTGTAACAAATGCCTGTAATCTCAGAACTCAGGAAGCTGAGGCAGGAGGATCACCATAAATTCAAGGTCACCCTGGGTTTCTGCA